CAGGAGACAGGACCTCCATTTATCGTCCCTATCCGAGAAGACTAGAAAGTCTAACCATTTTCAGATATTATTACAAAGGCAGCACTTTCTTCTCAGTTAAGACCCGACCTCCCGCTCAACAGTTCGACGCTCTACCGATTGAGCTAACCGAGAGGCGAGTTAGCCCAGATAACCCAACTGAGCAGTGTGACTGACCAATCAATTCACCATTTATTTACGATGTTCTTTTATTTGTTATTATTTAATTTCCAAAAGAAAAAAAAGATTTCCAAGACTTTGAGTAGCGAAAAAAATTTAATAAAAATACAATTTTTAACATTTCTTTTAAGTATCAGGATCAAAAATAATATCTATCCGTGAAAGGCATGAAAACTGAACTGGTTAACAGACTTAAAACAGGCTCATAACTGACCAACCTATCAAATCTTGCGCTTTCTCGACCGCTCTTACTCAGCCACTAGAATACTAGGTTCAGTCTTCAGCCGCAGGTGCTTCGGTGCGCAATCCTCTCCATACGTTAATAAAATTGCAGGCGCACCGACAACCTACATTTGGAGACTGAGCTTTCATTTTTATCAAGCTAACTTATGGGAAAGTGATGATATAGAACATTTTCCGTGTACTGAGTCCCAGAGCACGATTAACTTACAGTACAAAAAAATGCTTTGACTTTGTGAGCGTAATTGCAGCTCATAGCTACGACTGATACTTTGAATAAAAGATAAAATGTTTACATCTTAACATGAAAATAGGGACTCCAAAGCTTTTAAGAAATCGATATTAATTTCAAGTTTGCATAGTAAATAACTGAATCATATGAAATCATTGATCAAGCTTTTCACTGAAGGTGTGGTATGACTCTCAATCTCATTGTAAAACTTTGCTTGTTTCACCAGGGAAACCTGTCAAGAGAAAATGAAGCTACGATTAGCTCAGTCATCGACAAATTTCAATACATACCTCATACTGGCCTCATATTCTGGGTTCGAACTTTAGGTTACAGATGGAGTGTTTTTTTCCCCTCGGATTTATGGCCAAGCGTGAAACCGGGATAGTTATGATATCTCTGGGTTCGAATAGAAGGGAAAGCCAGATTTCAATTTAAACGAACTTTTGAATTTGTTGTCCACACATTAAAATATAGCCCGCTAAATTGACCAATCATAGCGCTCGTACTTAGGGAGAGATATAACAAACTCTACCACTACCTCTACCCAATTTTGAACAATTTTGGTCTCAAAACTTTCTTTTCTTGATCAGGTTTAAATGAAAATTTTTCAGTTTAAGTGATTCAGGAAGTCCCCAAGTTATATTCCCGACTTTCTTCTGAGATAATAATCCAAGATGGCAGATGATTACTCACGTCTAACCAACAGCCTTGTTCCAAGCTCCCTTAGGGTACCCCCTCAGTATACTCAGTTTGATTGTTACTTTATTCAGTGTTGGGTTTTTTCACCAGTAATGAATTAAGGGTATGGTGCTAATTTGCCGTGTAATATATCTTAGTTATGTATTTACCTATTGATTTGGCAAACTTTGTGGCATCACTGGCAAACTGTAACCTCTCTGTGACTTGCACACTGTGATAAAAATTCCAAAATAAAAATATTTTCCTCATAATTCTATTAAAAAGAGTTCACTTGTCAGGATTTTGAATCATTATCTTCACCGCCAATGGATTCTTGGTTTAAATCAAAAGCATCACAGCAAATGGAAATTAATTTTTGCTTACCTAAAGAATTTCTCGCTCTCATCTCTTACTGGTACCTGGGCAAACCATGAAGGCTTACACAAAACGATACGGAGAACTTGGTTTCAAAGCTATCAACAAAACAAACGGTATTTATAGCGATGTTATTCCCGGAAACTAGGAGATTGATAGAATATTTGGTAAGGTGACAGAACAACGATTGTTTTTTTTTTTAATTTGGCACTTTTCTCTTCGTGGATCTACGGCGGAAACGTCGTCTGACTTATCGCCAATGACCGCCGGAACTGGCAGTTCTCCACAAAAGTTTTGCCAAAAGGCAACCGGGGAGTTTTTTCGGAAAAGTTCCAATCACGCATGGTCTTAAACAAATATAAATATAGATGCAAGACCGATACAACGTAGATAAGTTTTAAAACGGAGCACTATATTTCGGCTGGCCAAACCAGCCTTCTTCAGGTGCAATGGGAATTAGATAGCTGTATGATGTAATAGCGGAAATACGTAAAACTAATTTGATTGACAATGAGATAATACGTATGATGCACTATCCTCGCAGAAGAGAGCGCTATTTATTGGTAGAGCGCTGCACTAGTATCGCAGAGGTCAGTGGTTCGAATCCCGTACAGGCCTGATTTTTTTTTTAACAAATATAAATATAGAGGCTTCTTCAGGTGCAGTGGGAATTAGATAGCTGTATGATGTAATAGCGGAAATACGTAAAACTAATTTGATTGACAATGAGATAATACGTATGATGCACTATCCTCGCAGTAGAGAGCGCTATTTATTGGTAGAGCGCTGCACTAGTATCGCAGAGGTCAGTGGTTCGAATCCCGTACAGGCCTGATTTTTTTCAGGTCTGATTTTCGCTATTGCATAAATAGCGCTCTCTACTGTGAGGATCGTGCATCATACGTATCTATTACCGCAGTTCAAAATATATGAACTTCATATGTTCATCATAAAGGGTCTAGTCATGCACAGTCCATCCTCGATGAGGTATCTATATGGTCTGCTAACAACAAGTTCCAACTTCACCCTTGTAAATGTAATGAGCTTAGGATAACCTTTGCATGCTCTCCGACAAAATGTGAACTTGTGGAAATCGCCGGTTGTAAAATTCATACAGTACAAGTAGTTTAGTTATTGGGCGTTTCATTCAAGACGACCTTATGTGAGAGAAATGACAAAAAAAGCTGCCAAACGCCTGTATTTTTTAGCGCAACTAAAGCGTGCCAAAGTTCCACCTGAAGAACTAGTTCAGTTCTATGTTGCCTGCATCCAATCTGTTTTACTTTATGGCTGCCAGGTTTTTCATTTTAGTCCTCCATAATATCTAACCTTAAGTTTAGAACGAATACAGAAACGTACTCTTAGGACAATTTTCGATTACGAAGTGCATTACTCAGATGCCCTGGCACGTTCAGGCCTCGCTACGTTAGAGCAAAGAAGGACGGAACAGTGTAAAAATGCTTTTTAAAAAAATTGTAGATAACCCCCTTGATGTTCTGCACCCTCTTATTCCTTTCAACGAGAGACCAACTAAAGACCTCAGGAATGTTAGACCATCCCGTGTAAAACCATATAAGACCAATAGGTGTCTCGACACTTTTTTTAACAAATGTGCAGTTCTTTTTTTAGCAATTCAACTGCACTAATTTCTAAGATTTTATATTTGTAGTCATATATTCATCGTAAATGAGATAATAATTAAAAATAGAAATAGTAAATAAAAATAGAAGTAAAGTGGGGTAAATTGAATAAATTAAATAACTAGAAGTAAGAGTAGTAGAAAGAAAAACACCAATACATTTCTTCGCGAGCGTCAAGGCCATCGGGATAAATAGTATTGCCTCTTGAAATTATAAAAGCTTCCCTGGCCTTGTGGATCGATTCTCTCTTGGAAAACACTTTTTCGATGGCGATAAGCTCCATGCCGTAAGCAGAGTGGTTGGGAGAGGAAAGGAAGTGTTCTGAGACAGTAGTAGGTTTAGATCTAGAGTTAGGTTTATAAATGGTACGGCGGTGTTCATTAAAACGGTCTTTTAAACGTCGTTTCTTTAGAAATTTGGAAAACATCATTGTCAACAGAAAAAGGACTGTCTCAAAACTCACCGACTGCAAATCCTGTCAAGGATTTCTCCGCTCCATTCGGACAGGTATGTCGTGCTGTTGTCTGAATTCTTGTACATAATTACGGAAGGCTTTCTTGAACCTTTCAGCACTGTGGCGATAGCATCAGGGATGCAACTGTATTAACAACAGGGAAGGAAACAAAAATAAAATGACGCCATTGACTAACTGGAAATCGTTTCAAAAGAAAAACACTTTGGGCTGGATACTGTGATTTCTGGCAAACCACCAACAACTTGTTTCGAAATTACCCCACTGATGAAAATGTACCTCTGAATCAGAACTGTTATCCAGTTTTAAAATAGCGCTGCCTTCCATGGCTAGATGACTGATATATTATTCTTGAACCCAAACTCATCTTTTGAAGCAATGGATTTATGGTAGATGCGATATAACTTTGAACATTTTCCCATCACAGGCATTCCCCCTCCCTCCCCCCCAACAGTTTCCTACTTTCCATTACAATAATGATTTTTTTAATGATATCATGGTACCTTTGAGTGACACCAACACTTACTTGAGGCTCATGTTGCCAATAGTCTCATTCAGTATGGAGCTGTACAGTGTGAACCAGTGAAAACTTTCCTCGTAAAAGCCTGTGAAAATGCAAGACATTGACAATACTTTCCGTGTCTGAACTCGACCTCACGCCGCTTAAACATACACACAAAAAAGACTGAGCAAAACCCTTACTAAGCGGACTCCCGAACAACCCTTCCTTTTTATATGCTTTTAGTAAGGGGTGTCCGCTACTTGAAAAGGTCCTTTTAAAATGTTATTAATATACCTTTGTAATGAAGACAGGATGGAAGTTTTTCCTCCAGAGTTGTAGCATTTTCTCCTTTACTTTCCTTCTTTACATCCGATTTCTCTTCTTCGGTATCGTTATCAATCTTTCCTACAACTTCCTCGTTGTTTTACACTCGCTTGTTGTAAGTAACTAGTACAGAATGAAACTAAATTAATCACGACGGTCAATAAAAGGGAAGAAAAATATCACCATGAGCCAATAGGAACTGAAAGAAAAAAACAAGTGCACTGCTTCAAGCGCAGTAAAATTGGCTCCACTTTTAAATCTGATTGGTTGAGAGGGTGCCTCCCAGTTTTCTAGACCAAGTACAGAGCGTAACGAAACAACACTAGTGCAGTGACGGATAACTATCGACAGTGAAATGAAAATTACACAAAACGCACCTAGTTCAGGAATACTGTGCTCAAGAAGGTCTTTAGCACCCATGAGCCATGTCAAAGTGCTGGGCGCCACGTCAGCAGTGTACCATCCTGCTGTGTAAGTTTTTGGTGTTTCCGACCACACCCTGGGTGTGGCAAAGCTGCTGCTAGTGGTATAGTGCTTGTTCTTATTGCCATGAACATCTTGCAGAGACGACACCACATACTTTTTGCTCTTAACTTCCTGAATAATGAAATAAGAAAAGTCAAAGAGAAAGGTATTTTACACAAATGAAGTTTCGCCAACAAGAAAACTTTAAAATCTGAAAGTCATCAATGTTCAACAAATTGCAAACTTATTTGTTGTAAATTCCGAGCCCGGGATACAAGGCACTGACTTGTGAATAAAGTTTCTGTCGATCTATTTATCTGTAAAGTCGAAAGGTTTTTGAACTTCAATAAATCAGTAACCCACTTGAAAAAGATACCAACCTTTTTCCTTCTGAAGACTCTTAGAACCCGCCGATTGTTGCGGCTAAATGTGCATCCATTTTCAAGTATAAGATTTCACATAAATGTTATTAATGAAGATATCTAAAGTTACCCAAACGATCAAAATAACTCTTACAGTTCCTTTGCAAATCTCGCGTTAAAGCCGCACAACTCCTTTATGACATAAGAGCACGCGCTCGTGCAAGCGGTTCAGTCGAGGATAATACTGATTGGCTGAAAAGTTGTGATGTTTAACGCAACTTTGTCAGTTCCTGTTTTCACGTGACGTCTAAGAACATTGAAAAATTAGAAATTATGCACCTTTTAAGATTATAGTGAAGCTTGTTGTTAGAACTGTTGTGGACTTATCTTTTTCCAAATTTTCAGTTTGATAGGGTTTTTCGTCTTGTGCTCCCCCGAGGGACACAAACATGGCGTCATACAAAGCCTTATAAATTTGAGTAAGACATTTCTTCGAATATGTCCTGCACAAAGCATCGGACAGACCTGAATCTTTGCTCTTTCATTCTTGACTTTATTTGTTGAATGGCTTTGACGATGGTGTGACAGTGAAAACCGGCAATATGTTTTTATTTACACTGCAACATCTTATTGGTTGAGGTTGGTCGAGAGGTAGTGTAAAAAGTTGGGAGACTGAGTACCACAGAGACGAAGACTATGAGAGAACTCAATTTTTCGAGTAATCCTCATTTGAATAGCTGTTTTTGAAAATTTTGTGGACCATTCGCCTCCATCTCGTGTTTTACAACTTTTCTCTTGTTCTCCAACATCCCGCGTGGTTTATTATGCCGGTAAGCCGACACAAAGTGTCACAGCTTTATTGCTTAAATAAAAGATAAAAGAAACCTCATCTGCTTAGCTAAAAAGAAGCGGAATTCTAAGGAGTGGACAACTCAAAATGGTGCACAAATCCGTATGTTTTCTAATTCTGGAATAGACATACTTCATTCCTTTTTAATTCCTGACACCTTCCGATTTTTGGGAAAACGACGACAGGTTGATCTGTTGATCTGTCCCGAAAATTTAAAAACATTTTTCACTGATTAACAATCCTTTTCAATCTATTCCATTCTAAAACATCCTTGTCATCATCTCTTCTGTGTTTAGAAGGAGTAAGTTCCTGTAGTGCTGCGTCAGTGAGGGCGAGATATTTTGAGATAATTTGGGTCTATCAACTGAGTTGACATTGTACATTGGCCACCTCAAAGCCGACGTTTCGAGCGTTAGCCCTTCGCAGTTGATTAAACCAAATCCTCTTTATGTTTCAGTCTATTTAACCTAAACGATATTTTGTAGTCTCCATGAAACTGAAAGTTGTTCTCGTGGTTCTTCTTCGTAAAGAAACCGAAAATGTCGTGGCTCAATGACATCCAAAATTAATACACCGTTTTGGGTCAGCCTGCTCACCAACCTTCTTCAGAGCGCGAGCGAAACAATGAATCGCATAGCATAAGACAAGGCAAACAAAGGAATAATTAACAAAAATTTTTACTATATAAAGAAAATTTTCAAAACCAGCCTTGTTGTCAAATGTTGCTAAAGACTTAAAAAGAACCGCTCAAACTTGAGTTGATAAGCCTGAGACACACATGTAAAATTCGTTAAGAAGATTCGTTGACTCTTTTAGGTAAGCTCCTGTTCAGTGATATTCCGTCGTGTCGTTGTTTGCTTATTAAACATTTAATGTTACAAGGTCAACAGCTTTTTGTACCCGTGGGTCAGTTTGGAGCAAGATCACTGAGGCGTAGCATCAAATTCAAGATAGCTTTGTTTTAAGTGTCAAGGCCTTGAGACAAAAAAAAAAAAAAGGGAAAGAGAAATGAAAAAATGGAAGTCCCAACACATGAAATTCAAGACATTTTTGCGAGCCCTGCTTTTTGAACAGACCCTTGGTCGCGCCTAAGTTGCAAACCGATTATTTCATTTCACCCAGTTAATTCCTTACACGATGGCCTGCGGCAAATTATTCAAAACAATTTCGGTTCATTTCCATTCATGTTAAAATCTGACATGAGAAAACTCCTTGACATGTAATTATCGGTGAGTCAGTGAATTCTTTGTTCATCTTGAATTTTTATGAAATAGTTCCTCCAATTATTTCTTCGTCGTTATAAAATCACGAGTTTTATTTCGAGAGGTGCACTCGAAAGATTAATCATCTCTGAAAAACTGCAACCGAAAAAAATTACAGTTCAACTCATCAAAAGATTGTTTGTGTACCTGTCGCACGTTTAACTGGATATTCATTTATTTAATACGTCCTTCATATGCATAATACCGAAAGGAGCAAAACACGTTTTCTCGCGAAGCAATGAGACTGAGCTAAAGACAGACTTCTTGTCGTAACATATATGACCTCGGCAGAAAGCTTCTTTGCTTTGTCTACGAGAGCATTTGGATCTAACACGTCTTGTCCCGGCCTGTGAAACAGCCAATCGTTCAGTCATTTTTAAGCGAGAAAAGGTAATTCATGAAACAATTACAACAACTATCGCCTCCACCTATGTTTTATTTACAACACAAGACGCCAACAGAACCCTTTAAAACAAAAACATTACGAATCAAAAGTCTGTAAAGTTGGATTAACAACTTACATGTCTTGTAGGGTTTTTTCCTTTTTCGAAACAGCTCTGAATGCTAGTGAAATCTTTCTTCAACTTTCTTTACCTCAGTTCAACACATTTAGTCATTCCTTGTTTCCGACTTTTTTTCTCGTTTCAGTTAGTTTTGACTGAGTACATTTTAGTTACCAAGGAACAACATGAAAACAGCGAGTTTTACCATCATTGTGTTCATCGCTTGCATGGTTTCGCAACTGGTGCTTTCCGCCAACCGGTCGGTAAGTGTTACGCTGAAGCGACAGACTGAACAACTTTCAATCATAACCACCTTTCTTGATAGATCTGTCCCCCTCTTGTCGCTTGGTAAAGTGTTCAGATTCGGGAACGCATTAAGATTATGTTGAAGTCTAAAAACATGGCTCTCAAAAGGTTGAAATATGGCCCGTTTTTCATTTCATAGATTTGGAGCTTTGTCTGTCCTAACATTGGTTTCAGTTTACAAACAAGTCGCACTGAAAACTAGCGATTTCTGCGACAACGAATTCGCGTAAAAGTGAAACTAAAACACTTTTAAACTGTCGAATTGCATGTTATGAATCCCTCAGTAAAACTAGGTTTCAGTTATTGATTTCTCAGTTTTATCGTAACTCGGTGAATCATTGAATAAATTGCAAAACCCAGAAAAATTTTATCAAGTAAGTCTCCAATAATTGAAATTCATAACATGGAGAATATATAATGTATAAATGGAGTGCTTAAGTCAGTGAAAGTTTTGTATATATCTTATCAACCAAGTGCGAGGGCCGTACTGGGAAAATATTGGCCCGAGGTCTTGACAGTACGGACCGAGCGCAGCGAGGTCCGTACAAAAAAGACCGAGGGCCGATATTCTTCCAGTACGGTCCCGAGCAAGCTTGGTTAATAAGAGATTTATTATACGACTGAAGTTCAAAGGGACACAAGTGCGGTATCATTCGGGATCATTCGGGACAGTGCCCGGTCCAATACTGAGAGAATATTGACCGGCAATAGAGCATTTTGATTGGTTGATTTTAGTTATTGGCCATTTGACTGCCCGAGTCGTGTAATAAATTTTATTATTACTTCTGTTTTAATGAGAGGGCATTTGTCTGGCCCCCAAGCCCAAACTCTGTCAGCCAAAAAAATCGTATTTTCCTAATCGAAGCCCTTTGTACAGATTAGCAACTTAAGCGAAATAGTTGAAAAAAAAAGAGAGCCGAGTCAAATTTTCATGTCATCGAGTGGATGTCACGTTGTGTTATTTTTTTAAACCAATATTTGGTTCAAGAATTTCACTGCGGTGGTGCAGAGTAAGTAAAAATTCGTCAGTTTCCCTGTAGGAACCGCCAATGCTTTTTCTTTTCTGATTCATTCTGTGGAAAAAATGAATTTTTCAAATACCCAAATATGCTTGTATATATTTGTTTTCATAAATGTAAAGTTTCAGTGATTCAACATTAACCTCAAATAATTAAACAAAAGTCAACTGTTTCGCCTTAAGCTGATTTCGAAAATAAAGCAAACAAAGTAAAATGGATGCCTGAAATTGGAATCCATGCTGAAACATCTTATAGCACATCTGCAGTTGAGTAAAATACAATACAGTGTAGTTTCTTGTCAAGGAAGGAAAGAGGAGTCTTCACAAGCTTCTTACACCATATATCTATATCTCCTTATATCGAGCTCACTAAAAATTTTTTTTTTTTTCGCGCATTTATCTTATATCAAAGGTCAAGTCTCCAAGTTGCCTATCTACTGGCTGTAGTGGCGTCCCTGGTGTCCCTGGGGTTCCTGGGCTCAATGGAAGGGACGGAAAAGATGGCAGAGATGGGGGAAAGGGAGAAAGAGGAGCTCAGGGAGCACCAGGAAGAATGGGACCTAAGGGTCCACCAGGAACTAAAGGAAAAGCAGGTGCCAAAGGAGAACCCAGTGCCCAGGTCTCCGATCAGAAAAACTGGAAACAGTGCGCGTGGAAAAATATTAATGATGGGAGAGACTATGGACTAATAAAGGTCAGGAAAGAAAGAATTTCACGTTGGTTATTCTTCCAGCATGAGATTAGTTGCAGAAGCAAGTCAGAACTCAACCACTTTATCATCTTGTGGACTGTGGGATGAAGCATTTTCAGTCAGTGTGTTGATGGTTCCAGGAGTGTTTAGCTGATATGTCTAAAGCTATAATTCTCACTCACTTAGAAAACTATTAAGCAGTCGAAATTCGCCTGCTGCCATGGAGTGGTCCATACACTTATTCAAGAGTATATCTCGTAACAACTTGCTAAAAACATCATTAACAAAGTATTTATATCTTATCTTTTGATCGATCAATTATTTACCTCCAATTCATCTTTCTTATTTTCTCCTGTTTTTCCAGTACTGCTCTTTTGTTAAGCAGTATTCTGCTACGGCCTTGAAAGTCGAGTACAATGGTGATTTCAGAATAGCCTTTTGCCTGGATTGCTGTAAGCGCTGGTACTTTACTTTCAATGGTGTGGAATGCAAAGGTCCCCTCGCCATCGATGGTATCTACCACATTCACGTGAATAACCGTAAAACAGACTACAACGTTCACAAGGTAACTCAGATTGCAGGTTACTGTCAAGGAATTCCAAAAGGTACCGTGAAAGTCGGAATAAACGTCGGAGACTGTGTGGGAAAGAAATCAGGATCTGATGCTTATACCGGGTGGAATTCTGTTACTCGTATCATGATCGAGGAAGTCCCTCCACCACAGCACTAGCTGAAGGATTACAAAGAGTCTAAAGGGAGACAGCGCCTTGAAAAGATTGGCTATTATAGTTTAGTTTGGGTGACGCTACATGGCTTTTAGTGTAATAAGGCCGTGAAGGAAAAAACGGCTTCATTGGGATTAAAATGTTTTCCAAAGCACAACTCGTTTTGACTGGTACTTCACTGTGCTCAAAGGTTAGCTCAAAATGGTTTCGATGGTCTATGGTGTATCGTTGCTTCCACAAATTTTCATTTATTGACAGAAAATTATCCAAAAATCCTATTTCTTACCAAGTAAGAAAATATTTTGTGAAACCCAAATATTTGTGATTGAGTGGTGATCAGCATATCAAAGATCCATTTTCTGCCCCGAGTTTAAATTTTTCATAGCACTTAATTGGTCTTAATTGGTTCCCAGACATTTACTTTTCCGAAGACCCGATTTCTATCACACTTGCAATTTATACCAGACTAAAATTGAGCTTTTGAAGTAGTCCAAAACCCTCCAATAAAATCTTTGTTTATCGTCCATGTTGATTGCACTGACTACTGAGTTCGGAAAACGCTTGTCTTAACTGGTGCTCAGACTCTTTTTCCGTCTTGTCATCTGGCCCGTTCCCAGTTTCTCGTTCACCGTTCCTGATTTTAGAAACATATGTGTGAAGATTTAGTAAAACTGACTTTTTTTTAACTGTATTAAGAAAGTTAGCTTTACTAGGTTGTCGTCTAAATTTCTTTATGGTAAGCTTTTAATGCCTTTTTTATATAAATATAAATGCAAGACCGATACAACGTAGATAAGTAAATTTTAAGACGGAGCACTATATTTCGGCTGGCCAAACCAGCCTTCTTCAGGTGCAGTGGGAATTAACAGAGAATTGGGATGATGCTTCATAGATAGCTGTATGATGTAACAGCGGAAATATGTAAAACTAATTTGATTGACAATGAAATAACAATAAAAATAAAAATAGTGAGCAAAAATAGAAATGGAGCTAATCGCCATCGAAAAAGTGTTTTCCAAGAGAGACTCGATACGCAAGGCCAGGGAAGCTTTTTTAATTTCAAGAGGCAACACTATTTATCCAGATGGCCTTAACGCTCGCGAAGAAATGTATAAGTTTCTAGTTATTTATCCAATTTACCTTACTTCATTTCTATTTTTGCTCACTATTTCTATTTTTATTATTATCTCATTGTCAGTCAAATTAGTTTTACATATTTCCGCTGTTATATCATACAGCTATCTATGAAGCATCACCCCAATTCTCTGTTAATTCCCACTGCACCTGAAGAAGGCTGGTTTGGCCAGCCGAAATATAGTGCTCCGTCTTAAAATTTACTTATCTACGTTGTAGCGGTCTTGCCTTTATCTTTATATTTCATATTCGTTATTTTGGGCCGATCAGATCATCGCTGATCCAACGCACAAGAGTAGGAGTATCGTCCACGGTTGCCTGCTGAACATTTCACACTTTTTTAAATGCCTCCGTAGACCTAAAAAACTGAAGGTAAATTAGGTGTCATTTCAAACGATAAATGATTTGACAGCACCGGCCGCAGAAACTAATTAATTCACACACACACACACACACACACACACACACACACACACACACACACACACACACACACAAAAAAAAAAAAAATTTAAAAATTACTACTTTATTCACCACAATGTTCCAACTATTCCTACCCTATCAGGTTATGACTAGTGTAATTAGAGTCAGTCTCCAGCGGTTTTTAGGTGAGCCCGCAATCCTCCCATACTCGGAGTGAATCGCGGGCGCACGGAAAACCCACCGTTGGACACTGAGACGGAGACTGAGCCTACACTGTTATAAACTTAGCCAAGTTCAACGAAATCGATAAAAAGAAAATCTTTCCTTCTTTTGAAACAAAAAAAAATTGAAATTAGTCTTAGAGCACGATTAAGTATAAAAGTTACCGTGACTTTTTTAGCATAATGTAACTATTAAAAATTTCTCACTTTGCTCTATGAGTCATGAAATGTTATCACCTTAAACCTGAATAGGGACTCAAATTAAGCTTCTAAGAAATCGATATTAACTTAAGGTTGCTTGGTAAGTAAGTGAATAAATCATCGAATAAGCTTTTCACTCGAAGTTTGATGTGATTCTCAATCTGATTGTGAAGCTTTGCTTGTTTCATCGGGGACACCTGTCAAGAGAATGAGAAAGTGTAGCCACGATTTACTTTTCAATAACAAATTTCGATACACATCTTTCCGTCACTAACCTCATTTTCTCGATTCGTACTGTAAGTTACAGACCAAATTTTTTTCCGCTCGGATTTATGGCCCAAACCTGGGGTAATTATGATATCTCTGGGTCCAAATAGAAGGCAAAGCAGGATTTCAATTAAAACAAACTTTTTAATTTGTTCTCCACACAGTAAAATATGGCCCGCTGAATTGACCAATCATAGCGCACTTACTAACGGAGAGATATAATAATGCTACCTCTCGTCCAATTTTGTAAAATATGGCCCGCTGAATTGACCAATCATAGCGCACTTTCTAACGGAGAGATATAACAATGCTACCTCTAGTCCAACTTTGTAAAATTTTGGCCTCTAAACTTTGAACTATAACATTGTACTTTCGTAATCAGGTTTGGATGAAAAGCTTTCATTGTAAGTGATTCAGGATGTCTCCAAGTTACATTCCCAACATTCTTCTGAGAGAAAAATCCAAGATGATAGATGATTACTCACGTCTACCCAGCAGCCTTGTCCATAGCTTCCTTAGGGTACCCCCCTCAGTATCCCCCGTTTGATTGTTACCTTATTCAGTGTTGGGTTTTTCATTAGTGTTGAATTTAGGGTATGGTACCAATTCGACGTGCAATATATCTTAATACTCAAAGTATATTAATTTTGTTACGTGTTTACCTGTTAATTTGGCCAACTCTGTGGCATCACTTGCAAACTGTAACTTCTCTGTGACTCGCACACTGCAATAAAAATTCAGTAATAAAAGTCTTTGCCTCGTAGTTCTCGTGGTTCCATTAAAAAAATTCACTTGTAATACGTTTGAATCAGTCTCTTCACCGCAAGTGGATTCGTGGCTTAAATCAAAAGCTGTTATATCATAATTATAACTATGGTTATATTAAAACAAATGCAATCGATTTTTGCTTACCTAAAGAATTTATCGCTCTCATCCTTTACTGGCATCTGGGCAAACCATGAAGGCTCACACAGAACGATACGGAGAACTTGGTTTTCAAAGCTATCAACAAAACAAACGGAAGTCATAGTGATGTTATTCCTGGAAAAGTGAGACTAATAGAATATTTGGTAAAATGACAAAACAGGGATTGTTATATTCTTAATTTTGCTCTTTTCTCTCTGTGGATCAAAAGCGGAAACATCGTCACTTACCACCAATGACCGGAACTGGCAGTTCTCCACAAACGTTTTGCCAAAGGTAACCGGGGTGTTTTCTCGGAAAATTTTCATTGACGCATAGTCTTAAGCAAACACGATTCTTACGAAATTTGGGAAATGTCATTGTCAAAAGAAGAAGGACTTTCTCAAAACTCACCGACTGCAAATCCTGTCAAGGATTTCTCCGTTCCATTCGGATAGGTATGTCGTGCTGTTGTCTGAATTCTTGTACATAATTACGAAAGGCTTTCTTGAACCTTTATGCACTGTGGCAATAGCACCAGGGATGCAACTGCATTAACAACAGGGAAGGAAACAAAAAATTAATGACACTATGGACTAACTGGAAATCGTTTCAAAAGAAAAACAGTTTGCGCTAGATACGTGGATTCTGGCAAATCACCAACATGTTTGG